GGTTGATTCTATTAAGGTTCTATTTTTTTATAATTATTTAATTTTATTTATTATTGTTATTTTTAATTTTTTTGGAGAGGTTTTTGCTATAGGGCGTGTACGCTCTCCAGAAAGAGAGAGAGAGACAGAGAGACAGAAAGCGAGAAATCACCCCCCCAGAGAGGATGGTCATGCCGCAATCCCTTCTCCTCCATTCTCCTCTCGGGATCTTGGGCATGCACGTACACGCACCTGGAGTGAGTTTAAGCCACCTGGTTCGGGACTCGAACCGCACCGCAGTCAACTACATGGGAGTTCTGCGACATAGCCATTATGCTAACTGCTGGTCCCAAGGCTATTTAATTATTAATTCCAATAGAAATCCTATTTTTTTGCTCTCGTATAGAAATACAATTAAATAATGCATAGTGACCTAGTCTCCTGAACCTTGCTTAACTCATTTATTAGTTCTAGTAGTATGTATGTGTGTGTGTGTGCTTATCATTGGGATTTTCTATATACATGATCATATTATCTGTAAATAGAGATAATTTTATTTCTTCCTTGCCAATCTAAGTAACTTTTATTCCTTTTTCTTGCCTAATTAACCTGGCTAGAAATCTCAAGTTGAAACTCCAGTTAAGTGGAAATAGTAAGAGTGGAAAACCTTGTCTTACTCCTAATCTTAGAGGAAAGTTTCCAGTCTTTTGCATTTAAGCATGATGTTAGCTTTGAATATTTTGTGGATATCATTTATCAGGCAGAGAAGTTCCATTCCATTTCTAGTTTGTTGAGTGTTTTTACTATAAAGAGCTGTGGATATTGTCAAATGTTTTTTCTGAGCCAGCAGGTAGTGAAGTGAGTGAGGTGCTGGGTCTCACATAGCTGACTCTGTGATTAGTCCAGAAACAGCAGCTAGAAAAATATACCAGGTACATGTGTGTGCATGCACAAAAATCCAGAGAAGAGAATAGACTATGGCATGGCCATCCCCCATAAGGGGTGATTTCTCACTTTTCCCTCTTTCTCTGGCAAGCACACCCACCCTATAGCAAAAACCTAAAAAAAAAAAAAAAAAGTGATCATGTAGTTATGGATATACCTTATTCTATTAATATGGTCCATATTCACTGATTTCAAATAATGATTTGGGAAATTGGAGAAATTCCACAGGGTTTTGTTCATGACTCTTAAATTGTAAATTCAAATGTGGCTGAATTTTAATATTTGGAAATCCTGAAAGGAAAACTAAAAATAAACTGAGAATGCTTGAGAGACAGGATAAATAAATGCAAGAATGAATACATACACACAAATGCCTTACTTTTAGGTACTTTGTATATCCTGGGTTATTCAAATTTGACTAAGTGATTTCAATGAGTTCTCCCCCTACCTTTAAGAGAGATTTTTGCTATAGGGTAGGTGCACTTACGCACACATGCACGCGCACGAGAGAGAAAGAAAGAGAGAGAGAGACAGGAAGTGAGAAATCACACCCCACAGGGGGGATGGCCATGCCGCAATCCCCTCTCCTCCATTCTCCTCTTGGTATCTTGGGCACGCACGCACACGTGCCCAGCATGAGTTTAAGCCACCTGGTCCAGGACTTGAAACACAAGTGAGTGGAGTCCAGTAATGTAACCATTATGCCATCTGCTGGTCCCTCAATGAGTTCTCTGTTTAAGTATGCAAAAGAACAAAATTTTTGTTGTTGTTTCTAAAGAAAATATAAGAAGAGGGGAAAACTACAATGGTGATGTGAATAAATGAGTTTTTTGTTTTAGAGAGATTTTTTCTATAGGGTGTGTGAACTCGCTGGAGAGAGAGAGACAGAAAGTGAGAAATCACCCCCCAGGGGGCTGGTCATGCCACAATCCCTTCTCCATTATTCTCTCAGGATTTGGGGCGCACATGCACACACACACACACCTGGTATGAGTGTTGAGTTACGCGGTCCAGGACTTGAACCACAGTTGACTACATGGGAGTCCAGCAACACAGCCATTACATCTGCTGGTCCCAATCATGTTCTTTTTGTTGTTTGGGTTTTTTCCTTTGTTTGATTGTTTTTAGTAAAGCATAAAGGTAGGACAACCATGTAGCAAAGACAAAGTTTTCCCAGTTTGTGGTAAAAAAAAAAAGAACGACTAATTTTCCAGTTACACCATCTTTAGACAGCGCATAAACATCTCTCATTAATACCAAGTATTATGCTTTTTTGCCTTCAAAACACATGTTGAAATTTGACTGCCATTGTGATGATGTTGGGAAGTAGGACCTTAAAGAGGTGCTTAGGTCGTGAGGACTCTGCCCTCATGAATGGACTGACGCCATTACTGTGGGAGGAGGTTTGCCCTGTCTTGCGTGCATGTGCTCTCCCTGCCCTTCCTCTGTGTGATGACTCAGCAAGAAGGGCCTCACCAGATGGTAGCACCTTGAAATGGACTTCCCAGCCTCCAGAACTATGAGCTAGTAAATTTCTGTTTGCTGTAAATCACTAGCCTGAGGTATCTGTTACAGCAGCACGACTGGACTAAGACACCCACTCACAGATGTATAATTGTTCCTCCCTTCCTCTTCCACACTTGCTATATCCATGACTGTTTCTAAACTCTTTCTTCTTGATGATCTCCCTGGCTATGTGAATATTCCTTCAGGACAGAGAAAGAAAGAAAAGGGGATTAATGAAAAAGACAAAACTAGGTAAATAAAACTGCTCTACACATATGCATCCTATAGTATCTACAAGTATGCAGATTTTGTAATCTCTGTGTTTGAGAAGAATGACCTGTGAGACTGGAGGCTACCATAGGCACAACCTTTGGAGGCAAACTCAGATTGTGATGTGTAAATCTCTGTGCTGCAAGACAGTCCCACTGGCCTTCCCCTGTGGCATTCTATCTTTAGCACAGTGAAATTTTCCTAATTTGTTATCCCTACCATCTCTAGTTAACTAGGTTTAAAACCATTCATACCAGGCATGAATGTGTTCATGCCCAAAATCCTGAGAGGAGAGTGGAAGAGAAGGGATTGCGCTGTGGCCATCCCTCCAGGGAGGCGTAATTTCTCACTTTCTCTCTCTGTGTCTCTGTGTCTCTCTCCAGTCAGAGCACATGGCCTATGGCAAAATTCTAATATATATCTATATCTATCTATCTATCTATCTATCTATCTATCTATCTATATATATATGTATTCTGAATTCATCATCATTACTCTACTATTCTTTTCTCCTTTTTTTTTTTTTGGAGAGGTTTTTGCTATAGGGCATGTGCACTCGCCAGAAAGACAGAGAGACAAAAAGTGAGAAATCACACTCCCCAACGGGGATTCCCTTCTCCATTCTCTTCTCGAGATCTTGGGCATGCATGCACATGTGCCCAATGTGAGTTTAAGCCACCGGGTCCAGGACTCAAACCGTGGTTAATTACATGGGAGTCCAGCAACATAGCCATTATGCCAACTACTGGTTCCAACTCCACTATTCTCTTATCCAATCTTTACATTTTTGATTCCTGGCTTTTACACTTATTGTGTAAACTTGTGTAAGTTACTTAACTACTCTCATTTTCAGTATTATCATATGAAAATATCCATAATAAGGCCAGCTAGTGGTATTGTGTTTAAGGTGGCTTGATTCCACCTAGCTGACTATGCAGCTTGAGTTCCAAACCTGGCAAATTGTAAACACACAGGGCATGTGTGCATGCATGCCCAAAATCCCAAAAGAAGAAACGGATTATAGAGGAGAAGGGATTATAGAGTGCTATCCCCCATGGGGAATGCTTTCTCACTTTCCCTCCCTCTCTCTCTGTCTCTCTAGCGAGAACATGCACCCTCTAGAAAATAAATAAATAAACAAATAAATTAATAGAAATAAAACACACACAATAGTAGTATCTACCACATAGGTTCATTGTGATAAATAATTACATGCATTAAGGCTTAGAGCAGAATGTACTAAATATTAGCTATTGTGGTTACTGTTCTCCTTCTACCTTATAATACAGGGGCCTGCCCCAAATCTGGGACTTCTGAAATTCTACCAAACAGGAATTACATAAAAGAGATCAAGTTATAGCTCTAATTCCAGTGACTGACTTACTCCAAGAACTTCCTAAGTCAAAAAAACATAAAAAAGGCCAAGTGGTAGCACAGCAATAAAGCCATTGGGCCTATATCAGTTCATGTTCTGGGATCTCCCTAAGCACACTGGGTGTACTGACACAGTGCTCTGATCTGGGAAGACTGAGACCGTGTGTGGAGTATGGTAAGAGGACCCTACTAGAGGTGCCCATCCTTCTGTTTTTCTCTCTCAAGAAAGAAAGAAAGAAAGAAAGAAAGAAAGAAAGAAAGAAAGGAAGGAAGGAAGGAAGGAAGGAAGGAAGGAAGGAAGAAAGAAAGAAAGAAAGAAAGAAAGAAAGACAGACAGACAGACAGACAGACTTTTTTAAAGCATAAAAACTAGGACCAACTGTTAGCATAATGGCTATATTGGACTCCCATGTAGTCAACTGCTGTTAAGAGTCCTGGACCTGGTGGCTTAAACTCATACCGGGCGCATGTGCATGTGTGCCCAAGATCCCAAGAGGAAAATGGAGGAGAAGGGATTGTGTCATGGCCAATCCCCCCGGAGGGTGATTTCTTGCTTTCTGTTTGGTGAGTGCACGCGCTCCATAGCAAAAACCTCTCCCCTCCCAAAAAAAAAAGAAAGAAAGAAAGAGAAAAAGGCATAAAAACTAAGACCCACTAAAGCTTTTAGGAAAAAAATATTTCTAGTCTGAGAGAGGCAAATAAAATTCTCTAATTCTATATTCTGTCTGAGGAAACATAGAAAATTATTTGAAGCAATGTTCTAAGAGATCTAATTCAATCAAATGAAAACACAGGAGCGGAATACTTATGAGAAATTAAAGCTTTGAGCATATTTGTTAAATCTTATCCAACAATGTAAAAATGGCTATACACTCAAATTATTTAGGTAAGTTAGTTACAAATCTTTATCTTTGCAGAAAACATACCTCATCACTGAAAAATCTATCTAAGATCAATAATCCACAATCTCTTTGATCCTCATCATCAGCAACCTCATATTCTTCCTGATTGGAGATGTGGGAGAAAAAAAAAATGTTAGCTAAGTAAGCTTCTTTACAAATAATGTTTCATACTACCTGACATGCAGAATTCATTTGTTACCCCCAGAACCAAAAGGCAGCTCTGCTGATCAAGTATCTACAACTCTTCTCTGAGAAACTGAGGGCTCCTTAGGGAAAGGTTTGCTAAAGGAGGTTAATAAAGCAGCAGGGTGATGCTTTCCATAATATTCTCTGTGCTATTAAGCGTGGTTGAATAAAAAGGGATAAAATAAATAGTTTGGACTATTCTAGTCCAAAATAACACACATTTGCTGATGTAAGTAGGAAAGGCTAACGTAGAAAAAGGAAGGCTTGAAAATCACACCAAGCACATATTTGTGTGTGCCCAAAATCCTGAGAGGAGAATGGCAGAGAAGGGTTTGAGGCATGGCCAATCTCCCTGGTGGGGGACTGGGGGTGGATTCTGGGCATGCATACACACATATCCAATGTATTTTTCTTTCTTCTTTTTTATTTTTTAAATTTAGTTTTATTTACTCATTCATTTATTTTAATTTGACCAGAGAGAGAGAGAGAAGGAAAGTAAGAAAGCAAGCCACCAGGTTCAGGACTTAAAACATGATTGGCCATGTGGGAGTGTCCAGCGCCTTAACTACCAGTCCACCTGTTGGTCTCCCTTTTAAAATTTTCTTTTAAGTCTTTGCCATAGGGTATATATGCTCACTGAAGAGAAAGAGCCAGTGAGAGGGAAAGTGAGAAATCACCCCCCGGGGGGATGGCCATGCTGCAATCCTTTCTTCTCCATTCTCCTCCTGGGATTTTGGGCATGCACACACATGTGCCCAGCATGAGTTTCAAGCTGCAAGGTCTAGGACTCAAAATACAGTCAGCCATGTGTTTTATTTAGGTAAGTTAGTTATATTTGCAGAAAACATACCTCATCACTGACATGTGTCCAGTGCCTTAACCACTATGATACCTTCTGGCCCCTCTTTTTAGATTTTTGCTATAGGGCATGTGTGGTCACCAGAAAAAGAGAGAGAGATAGAGAAAGTTTGAAATCATCCCACAGAGGGTGATGGCCACTCTGCAATCCTTTCTACTCCATTCTCCTCTTGGAATTTTGAGCATGCATGTATTTGCACCCAACGTGATCTTTAAGCCAAGGCTCTAACCATGCAGTTGGCTGTGTGGGATTTAGAGCCTTAACCACCATGCCACCTGCTGGCTCTCATCCAGTGTGGTTTTCAAGTCATGAGGGCTGACAGTCAAACTTTATGGTGGGCCATGTGAGATCTGGTTCCCTTAACCACCATGCCAAGGGCTGGCCCACATATTACCTTTTAAAAAAACAATTATTTAATTTATCATCATTATTATTATTTTATAATTGTTACAGGGGAGGAGAGCTCACCAGAGAGAGACTGAGAAAAGGGGGAACAAGTGAGAAAGCAAGCTGCCAGGACTGGAACTTGAACTGCAATTGGCAGTCTGGGAGTCCAGCACCCCAAACATCATGCCACTACATATTACCTTAATTAGCTGTCAACCTTTGTACAAATTACAGTGTGTTTCAAGGTCATGTAATAAGTCATGTGATTCTACAACACCTGAGATGTAATTCTATTTGAAATACCACTTTCTGTTACAGAGATTTCTATACTAAGAAGCTAGTATGACAGCAAGATAACTAGTTTATCCACTACTGTATGGTTGCCAAGGTCTAATTTCTTAGTTTTCAAAAACACAAGACTACAGAGGTAGTTCAACATTGAGATAAATCACTTACCACTGCATCCAAAAATTCAATATACGTCTTAAGATTAGGATTCGCATCACAGAATTGTCTGAAGAGAAGTCTTCCTATTGGCTGCTTATTACAAAGGCTACTATAATTCTTCTCTGGGTGAAGAAAAGAGATAAGATGCAAACAAATATGATCATTACAATACACCAAGTGCAGTTCTGAACCTTTCTTACAGTTTTCACTTGATACAATAAAAATCAAAAACCATATTTGCAGTATTTTTTTTTTTAGAGAGAATTTTGCCATTAGGGCATGTGTGCTACCCGGAGAAACAGAGAGAGGCAGAGACAGACAGATAAAGGTATATATATTTAAATCTATTTATTTTTACCTTATCACAGTTCTATTAATGATTTCACTTTTCTTTTTTTTTTGCGGGGGGGGAGGGGAGGTTTTTGCTATAGGGCGCGTGTGCTCGCCAAAAAGACAGAGAGAGACAGAGAATCAGAAAGCAAGAAATCACCCACCGGGGGGATGGCCACGCCACAATCCCTTCTCCTCCTTTCTCCTCTTGGGATCTTGGGCATGCACGCACATGTGCCCGGTGTGAGTTTAAGCCGAGTCCAAGACTCTAATCGCATTCAACCACGTGGGAGTCCAGTGGCATAGCCATTACGCTAACTGCTGGTTCCTGATTTCACTTTTCCAAGCATTAAATTTCACATGCGACTAGAATACCACAAGTCACAGAAATGTATACAAAATGCAATGCCTCTGTAGTAGTACATGCTGTCTTTCTGCCTTCCCATGAGAAGCCCTGTTCTTGCAGAAGCCAGAAGACCCAGCCTCTAACTTTCTGATACCACAGAGGCTGCTCTGTGTCCTAGGCATGAGCAAGCAGAGATGGAGACAACATGCAGTTGGAGAGAGAGCGCTGGTTCCCATCAGGGGAAAGGCACTTCCTGGAGGAAAGGAACCCAGGTACCCTGAATGCAGAGAAGCTCTGGTCCTGAGCCCACAGAACGACAGAATCCTGTCGATACAGTAACCAGTTACCAGACAGGTTTCTCTGACCACCAGATTCCGAGTAATAGTCTGAGTTGCTTATCAGAAGCTCCCTGCCTCTCTTAATCTCAAAGTAATCTTCCTATAAAAAGAACACCAACAAAGCTCTATAGCTTCCTAGTCTCTTTGGTGAGCACATGAGCCCAAAGGCAACAATTAAAAAAGAAAAAAGCAATGCTAACTTTTCATAACTCTTGGGAAACAAAAACCTCTACCAGAGTTCTAGAACTCTGCCCATCTCCTTCTGTCTCATCCAGCGCTGCTTTCTTCTTTCATCTTTCCTCCAGAAAGACTGGGCTTTCTAAAGTCTCTGGAAATTGCCACCTCCTTCCCACCCTGAGGACCCTGTGCTTCTTTCTTTCTTTCTTTCTTTATTTATTTTTTTGACCCTGTGCTTCTTAACCGTGCTGCCTAGAAAATTATTTTCTTACCCTCATACTCTGTACTCCTAGCCTGGCCCCTACCTTAGGAAGCTTTCTCTGACCCTCTGTCTCACCTCCACCTAGCTTAAGTTCCTCCCTGTAGCCTGTCTGCACTTTGTCCTTCGAAGCCCTTACTACCACTTATAATTCTGTTTGTTTCTGTGATTATTTATGTTGTCTCAGTCTCCATTAAGAGAGAGCCTTGGGGGACCAGCAGTTAGCGTAATGGCTATGTCACTGGACTCCTATGTATTCGACCGCGATTCAAGTCCTGGACCCAGTGGCTTAAACTCAGGCCGGGCGCGTGTGCATGTGTGCCCAAGATCCCAAGAGGAAAATAGAGTAGAAGGAATTGCAACGTGGCCATCCCCCCTAGAGTGTGATTTCTTGCTTTCTGTCACTCTGTCTCTCTCTGTCTTTCTGGCGAGCGCATGCGCCCATGGCAAAAATCTTTTGGGGGGGAAAAAAAAGAGAGAGAGCCTTGGAGGCAGAGATCATGTCTGTGTCTTTCTCGCTGTATTTGTACTGCTTGGTACTGAGGGAAATAAATGATGATGCTGAAAGGTTAACTAATGACATATTTAATGTAACTAACTACAGTCTATGTACCAGAAAAACTACCCCCAAAGAATTAGAACTATACTGAGGAAACATATGCTAATATATTAGGTGGTCGGGAAAGTCATGACATATTTTTCTGTTTTCCCATGCAAAAATGCATCAGGGTGGGACCAGTAGTTGGAGTAATGGCTATGTCACTGGACTCCCATATAGTCGACTGTGGTTCATGTCCCAGACCCGGTGGCTTAAACTCACGCTGGGCACGTGTGCATGCGTGTCCAAGATCCTGAGAGGAGAATGGAGAAGGCCATCCCCCATGGGGGGTGATTTCTCACTTTCTGTCTCTCTCTTTCTTTCTAGCGAGTGCACAAGCCCTATAGCAAAAACAAACAAACGAACAAACAAAACTCAAAAAAGTGCATCAGGACTTTCCCAATGATCTAATACATAAAAACATAATTCTATGATTCTATGAATATATTTGATAGCATAAATAGTCCCAAAGAGCAGTTTACAACATCTTAATTATAACACAAATGTCAAATGATTAAAACTGCCATACTAACCTCTCTATGCTATGTTCAGAAAAAGTTCCTTAACACTATGACTCAAATATTAGTTGGGCCAAGGAAAGATATATACATGACTTCCTGGCATATAAAAAGGTACTCAGGTGTCATAGTGGCAGCGGTAATGCAATGCTTCATGATGCTGAGGCTATATGGGTAGATTCTGGGTTTGCATCCTCAGGTGTCCCTGTGCATGCCAGGTGCACATACATATCAGAGATCCTAGCTGACTGAGACTAGGAGGATTATGTATGAAGACCCTGTTGGGGATGCCTGCATCTGTCTGTCTCTATTTCCTTATTTCATGGGGGGAAAAATAATAAATAGGTAACCTTAATTAAAAAAAAAAAAAAAGAAAAGAAAAGCTCAGGCCTAACCACAGTGGTGCACACATAGTGCCACCACTGAGCAGAGGCTGGAAGCCTCATGCAAGACCCAGATTTGGTTCTCAGGCCAATGTGAACATACTGGGCATGGCTGTGCATGGCTAACTGGGAGGCTGGGGCAGGAGAATTGTAACCGAGAGATCTCATCAAAAATGTTCCTCCCTTTCTCTTTTGCTCTCTCAAAAGAAATAAAGTTTAAAAGAAAAATTGAAAAAAAAAACTAATGGAAATGCTCAACCCATCCATATTTAACATAGGAGACCACTCTCCACTTTACTAATTTTCCAAGTTAGCAGGGATAAAAAAAACAGTGATAAAAACCAATATTAGCGGGAACCAGCAGATGGCATAATGGTTACATCACTGGATTCCCACAAAGTCAATTGCGATGTGAGTCCTGGACCTGGTGGCTTAAACTCACGCCGAGTGCATGTGCATGCGTGCCCAAGATCCCGAGAGGAGAATGGAAGATATGGGATTGCAGCAAGGTCACCCTCCCTGGGGTATGATTTTTCACTTTCTGTCTCTGTCTCTCCGGCGAGTGCATATACCCTATAGCAAAAATCTCTTTTACGGAAAAAAAAAAAGCAAGCGCATAAGCAAAGAAAAGGTGTCATATCCTGTTGACAGGAAGGTAAATTATTATTTTTTCTTTTTTTAAATTTGTCAGAGGGTGCATGCACTCACTGGAGACGGGGGATCAGGGAGCACTTCCTCATGGGCTATGGTCATGCTGCAATCTTTTCCATTTCTACCTCCTTCTTGGATTTTGGTCACACACACATATGCACATGACATATTTTTCAAGCTCTCAGGTCTGGGACTCAGACTGCACAGTTGCCCATGTAGGATCCAGCTGCCTTTACCACCATGCCTCAACTTACCCAGGAAGGTAAATTGATACAGCCTTTTCAGAATGTAATCTGGCAACATTAAAATTTTAAAAGGATATGCCCTCTGAACCAGAAATTCTCCCTCTTTCCTTCCCTCTCTATGTATATATACATAAACATATACACTTTTTAAAAGAATGTTGCTATAGGGTGCATATACTTGCCAGAATGAGAGAGAGAGAAAGAGAAAAAGTGAGAAAACACCCCCATGGGGGAATGGTCATGATGCAATCCCTTCTCCTCCACTTCTCCCTCATTTTGGGACTCTGGGCACACACAAACACACACACACACACACACACACACACACACACACACACACCTAGCATGTTTCTCAAGCTGCCAAGTCTCAGATTTGAACCGCACAGTCTGCATGTGGGATCCAGCTCCCTTACCCACCATGTCACTGGCTGGCCTTGATATGGGGACTGGATCCCACATGGCCAACTGTGCAGTTAGACCAAGTGCTTGAGAAACACACCAGGTGTGTATGTGCATGTACCTAGAGTCTAAAAAGGAGGGAGAAGTGAAGAAGGGATTGTGACTTGACCATAACCCATGGGAGGTGCTTTCCCACTTCCTTCTCTCTGTATCTGTCCAATGAGTGCACACATCCTGTGGCAATATCAAAAGAAAAAAATTATGACTGCCTTACAGACATGGTTCTACATCTGACCCCTTGTGCTCATTTTAGCACCTATATATACTGTCATTCTTTTTTTTTAAGAATTATTTTTTTATTTATTATTTTAAATTTGACAAGAGAGAAAGAGAGAAACAGAGAGAGAGGAGAAGTGAGAAAGCAAGCAGCCAGGTCTGGAACTCAAACCGTGGCTGGCCATGTGGGAATTCAGTACCTTAACCACCAAGCCAACTGCTGGCCTCAATAACTGTCATTCTTTATAGCTGTGAAGTATTCCATTATACAGATATATCATGTTTTATTTATTTACTTATAAATGCATGTGCATGAGTGGGAGGACAAGAGAGAGTAAGAAATAAGGTGTGTTTTTTTAATTAATTAATTTATTTGCATTCATTCACTGTACATCATTACAGAATACAAAATGAGATTTTCCATTCAGAGTACACTATATATTGTCTCAATCAAGCACATCAACAAACATGTTATTGTCAGCAAATAATTTTCCATTTCTTGTTTTCTGTATGTTTTGCTTTTTTTT